GGGCTCTTAACTTTTTTAGCTTTCTCACCGCAGTTTACGACCAACGTCTGGAAAGCAGACCGCAGAAGCTTTGTTGACGCCACTGTCACTGAACGGCATTGACAGTTTGATTGGATTCTCCTCTGATTGGGTAGTCTGTGGTTACATTTTTGGGTAAGCCTCGAGATTTCAGCGTACGTTCCACAGAAGTGATTTGCTTTTTCCTTGCCGGTGGTGGCAATACGCCTCTGTGGCTTGCATGTTCCATGTTTTTTTTCTGTTTGGGCCCCGGTGAGTTTGACTCGAGACCGGTTTTGAAAGAATCAACCTTGGCCTCGTTTCCATTGCGCTCGGAAATCCGGATTCTGTGCAAAACGGTCATGCAAACAGCACTTGTAATCCGTATAAGGAACTACGTAATCAAAATCTGGTCCGGTCTCGGCAACCGGGCCAATGCCCACTTCCAGGTCGCTTGCTGGTCAGCCCGAGGAGTCGAGCGTGGTTCAGTTGACCACGTGCTAGTAGAGGGAACATTCGACACCATGAAGCCGGCTTCACCCATTATGTACCCCGATCACCCACATCTGACTGATCATCAAAACGCACGAAATTTCCAAATGCTTGGTCTGCGTCTGAGTGCGCAAAGCCCGCCGAGCACAGCGGTGTGCATTTGTATCGACATGAATGCCCGCCGCCTTCCCCGGCACATGAAGTTCATGGTGGAGGTGCCAGAGGCGTGCGGTTTGTGGCTTTACAAGGACAAGTGGGGCTTGCAGGCCGAGTCTTAACTTAAGCTGCTGAGCTTAACTTCAGCTAAGCCTGGATATTGCAGGCGCGCGGAACGAGCTCACCGATTCATTTTCTTTCATAGGTTTTAAATATGTGGAGCTGCGTAGCCGGTGTTGAGAAATGCCTTCAGAGCGGGAGGGATTGTCAGCCTTTCAGTACTAGACCGCACTGGACAAGCGTGTGGTGTGACTACACGGGGATATGTTCCAATGACGTTATTTTTTCTGGCACGTTTTAAATGCTTCTTTTTAAAGACTACATTGGAGAGTCTTTACATCAGATGGATTCCTCATATCAGCGGTTACTCTTAGCAGTGAGTATTGCGGAGTCATGAACCCCCAATCCTACCCCCACCGCCCGGTCGTAAAATGCCGGCTAAACGACGATAACGACTTGCGATAAACACTCAAAGGCAGTGTTTCTTATTTGTATGGGGTTTTGAACTGAAATAACCATCTTGAAGATCATACTGTGCAGTTCACAAATCTGTCATTCTTCGACCCAAACCCCTTAGTTTCTGAGATAGACGTCCGCGAAGATAAGCACACTTCTTCGGGGAGCCTATTTCAAGGTCACCCAGGCATACGTGACGTCATAATCACGTCATTCAAATCATACCGTTCCATAACGCATGCGGCAATCAAGGCTAATAAGAATATGATCGTCGAGTCGTTCGTGAGCACGATGTTCTGATATTATGACTGTCAATTGACTCTTAATTAATGTTGTGCACAGTAAAATGACTTACGCAAACAATGACGTATTACGGAGCATATTTGCTAAACGGAGATACTGTGTTGTCTAGTGCAGTCTATTCCATTTAAAAGTATACCAAGCGTTATAACTAATATCCCCAAATCTGTCAAAATTCCGTGTCCTTTAAAGTGCCGCTATGCTTGCACGGTCCATCGTGTCGCGTCACGTCACTTGACCCTTAGCGCGGCCGCTGCCACCGGCCGCAGGGCATCACAGTCAGGGGCAAGGACGAGCGCCTGAATTAACTTAAATCCACTCCGCCATAAGCAGACGGATCGGAAGGTACGTACTCCAGCCGGCTAAGTATGGGACGGGGAGGCACTTAACAACATTCCTTCGGATTTGTTGCCGCCTTATGCGAGAACACGCACCTGAGCCACTGTCCTGCTCGTTCCATCCCAAACAGGGCGCCTCCCGGAGAAGAATATGATTGTGCTGACCCCGTTCGCGCATTGACGTACCGGCCGTGCGGTTAAAACAAGACCATGGATAGGTCCCACTCCGCTGAAGCCCGCGCCCTGACAAGGACTTGAGCGCTGACCCATCTCGCACTCAGTTCGGCAATTTCAAACATCACAGCATGTATATGAGGTTAGTCAGTGTTCGCATGCGCAGCTTTGACCAGCGGTCGGCCCGTGCCGAGGACACCGAAGATTCGTCCACCTACAACGTCTCGAACGCGGAAAAGAACACAGCAGCCTTAAGCGGTAGTATGAGGCCGAATTTCCAAATTTTTGCCACGAGTTAAATAGCTATCGATCGTATAGCACAATATTGTTGGCCCTCGCTACCCCAGGGGAGCGTGAACAGCTGTCCTGTCCGACCAGAAAATTCGAAATCGGACAGAAGCGGAACTGCATGATAAGAACAACTGGATACAAACTGTGGGTGCAAACTGTTCCGGAGGGCACATATTTCGAAAGAGGCTGTCGACACCAGTGATGAAAGCTTTAGAACACTCAGAGATACAAAAACACCCCACATTTCTTCGTCTGAAATGTTCGGATCGCGGAACCCCGTACACATGCAAAGCACGATCCAATGAGGTTATTCCAAGAGTGAAAGGATCCTGCCTCCCCAGCCACACCTTCAAACCCACAGACCGCCATCCACCCTCAAGACCTCATGATACATACACACCTGCTGAGGACCGCTCCCGGCTGCGATGGCTGCGGTCAGAGCCAAAAACTGCAGCGGCGTTTCCCGGATTACACTCGGCCGCTCACCGCGGGTGGACCGCTCTACGATCACGGCTTCCAGCAAAGACGCAGAGTTCGCCAGAGGGCGAGCATCTCGAGATCCGCCAGGGAATTTCCGGCCGCCGGCCGGTACCACTCCCACACGCCCGCGCGCGCGTGCTACCCCCCCCCCCCCCTCCCCCTGCCCGTGCCGGCCGAAGCTCCGGGTGTGACGGAAGCTTCGCGCCGCGCGCTTTGCCGCCGCCGTCGGGTGCAGTTGTAGTGAGCATGATCACGCCTGTCGAGGACGGCCCATTGACATCGTGCTTGAACATCGAGACGGAAACGGCTGCGCCGTGCTAGGTTCGGTGCGGTTGTGCGTGCTAGGCTAGCTTCAGCACGTCAGCTGCTAGGTTCGGTGCGGTTGTGCGTGCTAGGCTAGCTTCAGCACGTCAGCTGCTAGGTTCGGTGCGGTTGTGTAGGCTAGGCTAGCTTCAGCACGTCAGCTGCTAGGTTCGGTGCAGTTTTGCGTGCTAGGATAGGTTCAGCACGTCAGCTGCAGCTAGATGTACATCACTCGAGTTAAACATATGCCACGCGTTACAGAACACGGAAGCACACCTTTTGCGGCATGCGACAAGCAGGGTGATGACAGACCTGTCATTATCCTGTGTCTGATAACATAACATAAAACAATGCTACCTGTCGGCTTTGGCTACCCTCAGCAGATCGGTCTGATCAAGGCGTTGGACTTTCTCTCTTCCTGAGCTTGGCAGGCAGATGCGCACTGATGTTAGGCATTCCCGTGCGCATTTGCAATAGATGTTTGATTGGTTGGTTGACTTGGAGCCTGGCAACATTTGATAGATTTCATCAACGAATGCCATGCATTTGGGAAAGTCGGCATTTTTGGTGACTGTGACTGAAATCATTTTCGCTGGATGTTAGTCACAACAAATTGAGCAACACGTCCACGCAGCTTCAAGCCCAATATCTTTTCACTTCGGCGTACTCTGTTCACAAACACATTTGGAAACACAGTGGTCGCTGTCCTGTGCACTTCTGGCGCACTCATTGGTCGGGGGCGTTGACGCATTTTGGTCGGAGGGCGTTGACCCATTGGTCGGAGGGCGTTGACCCATTGATCAGGGGCGTTGACCCATTGATCAGGGGCGTTGACCCATTGATCAGGGGCGTTGACCCATTGGTCGGAGGGCGTTGACCCATTGGTCGGAGGCCGTTGACCCATTGGTCGGAGGGCGTTGATCCATTAGTCGGAGGGCGCTGACCTATTGGTCGGAGGGCGTTAACCCATTGGTCGGAGGGCGTTGACCCATTGGTCGGAGGGCGTTGATCCATTGGTCGGAGGGCGTTGATCAATTGGTCGGAGGGCGCTGACCTATTGGTCGGAGGCCGTTGACTCATTGCTCGGAGGGTGACGGGATCACTGTTGTAATTTATAGACAGCGTCCGCATTGACCCGCGCCGTGCAGCTGACTTCACGTCTTTATCTGGCCTGATTACTGTGATCTGATCTCGGTCTTGCTAACACCCCACAGCAGGCGGACCCATGGTTTGCGTGAGGGACGCATGACGCTGGCACACGTATGCGCCTTCGTGGGTTGACGGGTGGACGGTTCAGGCTCAGCCAGCGCGATGTCCGTCCCTTGCTACGTCATAATATGTCGGTCTCGCGTCGGGATGCCAATCCGAGACCGGGACACGAACCCGAGACCCCCCGCATGGGACTCCGACACGGCCCTACCACCTTCATCAAAGACGCTGTCACGGTGGCTTTAGTCTCGCGTGTTGGTGCCGGTGACGCTCACTGTACACGCGACTGCGCCGTACACTCCAGTTCTGGTGGCGGAGGAACCTAGCCGCACGGCAGTCTACCACCCCCGTGTTGACGGAGCTGTGCTCGAACAGTACCCCGGGGCGCACCGCGTACACTTGTACACCCCGTACGACTCCGGACCAGACGGGAGCACGCAACCTTCGTGCAGTCCCCAGACGGTGTGTCGACGTTGGCAGCGGTCTTCTTGGCGCGCGCGCTCTCACGGCCGCGGTTCATGATGATGATGATGATTTTGAAGTCTGAAGTTTATGGGTAGGAGACCCGTTGTGAACATCCGCCACAGCATTTGGCAGTATCAGCTACGGCCCCGGCGGGTTGTCTGTTTTACTCTTTCCGACGCGTTCGAGGTTGTGACATCGGTACAGCGGCCAGACACATGCGCCGCCTTGATTAACAAGTGACGGCGACATCCGTCAATCGCCGCTACCGCAACACCACCGTCCTGTTATATCGGTTATATTGATAAACTGCCAGCTGTATAGTTCCATAATGCCGTGTCCAACTGTTAGCCGGACAGCACTGCGAGCAACGGAAGCATTACAGACCGGCCAAAGACGAGGAAAATCACCACGAGGCTCAACTCGAGAGGAATCACCACAAAGGCAGACGACCGTCGTGACTATGTACAGTTTATACAAACGGCGCTTAAACTTGTGCAAACACTACACTACAGCCTACTGCTCCGCCGCTCGGCAATAAATACGCTAGTAAAATCGCCTAATCTGCTGTAGGATGAACAGACAACGCAAACAACGGCGTAAACATGGTATTTTGCGTCTCCGAAGGAGCAAACAAACATCCAACGAGCGATGCAGTTCCCTCTCTAAACACGGGAAAGTATGGCCAGCAGGGGCCTCGCCGCCCGCTTGATCGAGACTTGCGATGCCGACGGCCAGCCCGTCCTAATGTTGGCCTATGATAAACCCTCCCCACCGACGCAACGACTCCAGGCCCGATCCCACGGAGTATTACTATAGGGAAGCAGAGGCGCAGCCGGCACCAATGGAGAACTGCTCGTATTGCGTGTCCGACCAATCACAGACGTCTGACCAACGGCGACGATTCCGGTGCGTGCTAGAGGCTAGTGACCAGCTACCTAACGCTTACAAACGGGGACAAAACGCCCCATGCCCCGACACACGACACGAACAACGCAACAACACACGATGTAGAAGCAACGGGTTGCACCAGTCGCAACGGAATTCACTACGATTTGTAACAAACGAGTCGTTATCTGCGTGTTTTGATAACCGTTCCATCGCGGCCCGCGCGCGCGCCGCCGGCCGCGGCGGCGGCGGCGGCGCCGGCCCCTCCGATTCGATGTAGGCGAGCACTCCGCTCCGCTGACCGCGCCGCTGGCGGCGGCGCCGGCGATCACCACGCGCGCCGCCGCCGCCAGTGGTGCGGCCGGAATGTAACGTCACCGGCGCCGGACGGCCAGAGCTGGCCGTGCCGGCTGCTAGCGAGCTGGGGTTCCAGGCAGGACGGGGCGAGAGGGAAGGCGACGGCAGGGGCGGGCAAGGAAGGGGGTGTCGGAGGAGAGCAGAGAGGATGGCAAGCATCGACGCCGCGCCGCCGCGAGGTGTCACTGGTAGGCGGGAGGCAACAGCCCCTATCCCCCCTAGCCGGCACAGATAGACCGAGGGAGACACCATTCGTGCCGGCTGACCAGGGACGGGCTGCTGGACGGCACCGACCGCCGACCGCAGACTAGCCCCCCGGCCGTCCCGATGACCGGTAGCGGACAGGTCTCCGGCCCACAGGCGGCGTCGCCCACAGGCGCGTCCCCGGCCAGCCGATCGCGACCGGCCGGCGCCGCCGCGGCGTCGACGGGCGGGGCTGACGGCGGGTGCGGATTGCCGGGCGCAGCCTACGGGTGCCGCCCGGCCGCCTACGCGTTCTTCAGCAGGCTGTTGGCCCGGTCGTTGGCCAGCTTCAGGCGGGCCTCGTTCGACTGGCTCTGGAACACGGTTCGGGGCGTGGTCAGTGGGAGCCAGGCGTCACCGATCGGGCGGGCCTCGGCGCGCGTCAGAGCGCCCGTCCGCGGCCGCCGCGACCGACGCGGAGACGCCGCGTCACCGGCCGGCAGGCCGGCCGATCACCGTCACAATCGCCAGGCCGATCGCTGGTGAAGCCGGCGACCCGCGACCCCTCAAGCCCGCAACGGGTCACAGAAGCGTGACGCTTCCACACGCCAGTCGAGGACGGCTCTACATCCGCAGCGAATCCATTCATATTTACACCAAACAAAGCAGCGAGCCAGGCCGGCTCCACAGTCAACACTTGGCCGTCGCAACCTCCGTCCCCCCTCCCCCCTCCCCCCCCCCCCCCCCCCCCGATCCCGGTCCGGCCAACGTCGCCGACGCGACGCTGCGGGGCCACCACGCACGTGAACGACGCGTGGGACGGTCGCTGGCGGCGGCGTCAGCTGGCGGGCCGCCGCTACTGCGCGCCAAGCGCACACAAGCACATGCGCAACAGTCCAGTGCAGCAGGCAGCGGACGTGGCGGTCATGCAGTGGGAGGAGCGGGCGGGAGCAGGCACGGAGCGCCGGCGGCGCCGAGACGTGCCTCAGCGAGCTGCGGCGCCCTGGACCTGAACGTCAGGGATGTCCCCGACCGACGGCAGGTGGCGGCTACCCCATCGAATGCTCAGTCAGACGGGCTGTATAATTTACGCGCCACGAATTAGGATAGACCGCGGCATGCAACTTCATAGTGCGCGTCATGTTCATTTCTTGTCTCAATTTCACTATCATTTACCGATGAATTCTTGGGAAAAAATACCAATGGACGGTAGATCGCTTATTTTGGTAGCAGACGTACTTCGTGTTCACTGTTCAAAACGCACCTCCCCGTAAGGCGGTGCGGCTTTCTCTAACGTCGGCAAACGTCTGCTGACAATCATAGGGCTGCATGCAGCCTCTGTTGTGCGTGTGTACGTAAGTGGCCTGTACGATGCCTGATTATGCGAGATAAAAACTGCGGGAAGCGCCGGTGTGCAACCAGCGCCCGCTGTTTTGAAAAGACTGGCGCGTGCTGACGTGGTTTTTCGGGTGCACAGCAGAGCTGGGACAATAGAGCCCTCCAATGGTCAGGGGGACCCATGGGTACCCGTATGGAATGGGTGGCAGGCTGGATTCGAGAGAAATTCTGGGAAGATCACGAGCGTGGGTATGGGCATGAGCATCAGTTGCGTGGCAAATGCTCCACGCAGTACCAAAAATATGGCAAGCGGTCCTCTTCCTCTGCCGCTAAGCCCAAGCCTTCGAATGCGGCGGACGGATGGGTAACGGGTGGGTGGGACAGGTATAGACTGGGCAGAGGACGGGTACGATCAAGACGCCGTGGCCAATGTGTGAGCTGGATAGACTGAAGGCTCTCCCACACAAGCACGCTGCACTGTATACGCGGGTAAACTCGATTGCAATGACCTCTTTCTCATTAAAACCTAATCTTAACAAACCGCATTGACGGCGCCCGGCTCGGAAAGCCAGAAACGAAGAGAATGCTGTGTGCTTCTGGAGCCCATCCTCCAAACAGCGCGTTCTACGGCAGACCATACTGTGATCACCGATATTCTAATCGGGCAAGACACCGGGGGACCTCTTTCGCATCGAGTGAAGCGACACAGCGGGCGTCCCACACCTTCTTACTTTCCAGGCACGAGCCCCAGGGTTGGCACATAGTGCCGCCGGATCACGAGATCCCGCCTCCGCTGTCTCTCGACTATGGTGACGGCGAAAAATTCCAGTTGTGCGCACCGCACACCTGTCTGTCAGGGGTTCTAAAGACGCTGCCTGCATGCCAATCCACGACAAAACTCAACTGCGGACGGCTCGTCTACGCTTACGTCATCGCGTTCTATCTGCACTGGACTCGGAGTCCGTGTAGCCAACGTCTGCCGACTACATTTGACCGTACGCAACAGGCTTGCCGACAGACTAATCTAAGTCTTGTTCGGACTCGTGTAACCGCCTGCGGCTACAATGCAGCCGTACGCGGGCTCCTCGGGCGGCTAGCCATCCTTCAACCGCAAGGCATGGTGTTCCGTGTCACAGGGACTACAAGCTCAGAACAGACAACATCAAGAGCAGCGAGTAGCCTGCCCACGGCGGGCGAGCGCGCCAGACTACGGACGGACGAGAGCGCCACGGAGACCAAACCAAAGCCGAGGAAGATGGGCGGGAGAACTCAACACGGACAAAAGCATTACGAACATCAAACCGAACGGAAGAAAGATAGCAGAGGAAAATCAAGACGGACGAAAAAGCGCTAGGGAGACAAGAAAGCAAGTTCGAGAAATATCAAAAGGATCCGATCGACGGGCAAGTCACAAAAAGCACTGAGACCCGGGAACACAGAAAGTTGTCAACTAACGAAAACGGAAAGTTGATGCCACCTCAGAACAAAAACCCGAAACAAGGTTTACAAAAAAGACAGGTCTGAGGGCTCGTTTTAAGGTCAGAACAAAGATATGTGCGAGAACAACTCATTCGTCACTTAATGAAAGGATACGTGGAGCAACAAGGGGCTCCATTGAAAATATGTATAGGTACTATGGGACGATATATGGATATTAATAACAACATTATTACGACAAAACACAGGTACTATGGGACGATATATGAATATCAATAACAACATTATTACCACACAAAAAAAACAAGTACTATGGGACGATGTATGGATATTAATAACAACATTATTACAAAAAAAAACAAGTGGAATGATTACATGACCAAGACACGAAAACAGGAAAGAAAAGAAGAGTAACAGAAATTGAGGTTGAGAAGAAGAAACAGGGAGCTAGAGAGGAGGGAAGAAAGAGCAAGTACGAGAAACATACATTTACTTTGCGTTTAGGCGGATTTCAAAAGCTTTCCAGCTCTGTTGGATGCCGCGGCGACGTGCGACGCGTTAGAGTTGGCCTACAAACAGACGGGAGCAGTGTTGGCGGTGCGGCGCGGCAGGACTGCGCCTAGCAGCCGGGGCGCGGGGAAGGCGGGGAGGCAGGCACGCGGCGGGCCCGGGCCCGGTGCACGTGAGGGCGGGCCGGCCGTCTGCACAGGCGGCGGTGACGCGCAGGGAGGGGCGTGCCGCGACACACACGTCTACACACCGAGGGGCGCACACAGAGGGCCGGAGGATGGTCACGCAGGGCGGGCGGTGCCGGTGAGCGGAGGGCACACTACGGAGCTGGGCCAGCCGGCGCCGCCGCCGACGGCGGCGGCGGCGGCGGTGGGTGGCGGCCGGCTCAACACACGACACACGCAGAGCCGGAGAGGGCGGTGCGGCGGGCGGGGCGGCGGCGGTGCCGAAGGGTCACACGCCATGCCGGGTTCCCGGTCCTCTGTACAGCGGCGGCGGCGGCGCTCGGCGGCCGCCGCCCTCTCTAGACTGCAAGCCGCGCCCATGCAGCAGCGAGTCCCTCTAGCGGCGGCGCCGTGCCGGGCCCAAACGGCGCGATGGCACGGGCCACGTGACGGGACCAGGTCCGACGGGCGCAGGCGCCGGACGCCTCGCATAACCCCAGAACCACACCCAGACACGAGACACCAGCGCTGACCCCGGCGAACCACACCCAGACACCAGCGCCGACCCCGGCGAACCACACCCAGACACGAGACACCAGCGCCGACTCCGGCGAACCACACCCAGACACGAGACACCAGCGCCGACTCCGGCGAACCACACCCAGACACCAGCGCCGACTCCCGGCGAACCACGCCCAGACACGAGACACCCCCGCACCGACTCCGGCGAACCACACCCAGACACGAGACACCAGCGCCGACTCCGGCGAACCACGCCCAGACACTAGCGGCCGACCCCGGCAAACCACACCCAGACACGAGACAACCAGCGCCGACTCCAGCGAACCACACCCAGACACCAGCGCCGACCCCGGCAAACCACACCCAGACACGAGACACCAGCGCCGACCCCGACACGCCGCGGCCTGTACTCGGCATGCGCCGTCAGAGACAAGCCACCCACAAGAAACCACAAAGCTACCGACTTACAGACGCCACAAGCATCGAAGTAAATCATATAGTTGCAGGACACCTCCTCCTGACCATGTCCTTTCACCCAGCGACGCACAGACAACAACAAACACCTAGCATTACGGTGGATGTTGGCGGTGGAGGCCTAGCCTGCCCACCTCCCCATGCCACACCAGCCAACTGACTACCTGCAGAGTACACTCTCGATCCGACTATAGGCATCACAACGTCACGACATGAAACCCGGGCACGTCGGCACAGTAATGTTTCTACTCTACTGCTTTCCGTCTGTACCAGACAGAGGTCCGGCACCAGACCAAACGCAGGCCCAGTACAAAGCCGTGGTCAAAACCAGACCAGATCTCGCCCAGTGCTGATAGCTCCAGTTCCAGCGCCCCAGACAATCCCAGCCGTCTCAGCATCTGGTCAGATACAGAACCCAGAGCTAGACCAGACACAGACCTGGCACCGACATCATGAACACAGCCCGACCCGCGACCATTCGCAGCACACCAGACACGGCCCCCAGTCCCCCAGCCAGGGGATAGATAGCCCCGCATCGGACCAGACATGAACACACAAAGCCGACCCGCGCCAGTCGCAGCACCAGACCACGGCCCAGTCCCAGCCAGGGGAAAGCTCAGCATTGGACCAGACATGAAACATACCAAAGCACGACGCAAGCCGACTACAATTCAGACAACAGACAAACCCAGCAGCAGCACACCAGCTTTTGCACCAAGGCACCAGCATCAGACTGACCAGCCTTGCAGTCGTAACACTTATCCTATTGTCAGTGTCAGACATAGTCACACAGCATGCAGCACAGTGCCCGTACCACACATCGCCCCAGCACCATACACTCGCCACAGACGGACACAATGACGGACACAATCCCAGAAACAGCGCCGGACACAAGCCCAGAAACAGCACTAGCCACGGTCCTAGCCTAAACATTAGTGCCCCAACTCCCAGCACCACCATCGGACACTTCCCCGCACCAGCACCATACACTATCCCGCACCAAACAACCCTCAGCACCAGCACCAGCACCAGCACCAGCATCAAACACGGGCCCTGTAGTGACCCGTGCAGTCCGCGGCCCCGAGCCACCGTTAGGGCACAGCGACACCTTGGCGGTTATTCCCACTTTGGCTTGTCTTGGCTCACCTTGGCGCTTATCCGCTCCACCTGCCGGTTCTGGTTGTCCAGCTCTGAGCCCATATCCATGGCCATGTTGCGCAGGTTGCCGACCATCGTGTTCACCTGTTCCATGTTGCCTTCCATCTCGTCCTCACGCGCGTCGTTGGTTATTCTGCGGGCGGAGAAGGACCGGAGTTGGGGCAACCGGCGGCGGCCGGCACAACCCGCTTCAGCCGCAGCCTGGCATGTCAGAGCGTGGCGGGCACCGCCCGCTTCAGCCGCACCTCGCAGGTCAGAGCGCGGCGGGCACCACCCGCTTCAGCCGCAGCCTCGCAGGTCAGAGCGCGGCGGGCACCACCCGCTTCAGCCGCAGCCTCGCAAGTCAGATCGCGGCGGGCACCACCCGCTTCAGCCGCAGCCTCGCGGTCAGATCGCGGCGGGCGCCGCTAACATTCAGCTGACCTTTTCCTGGGCTGTTCGTTTGGCGTTTTGGGCGCTGCTACTGCGGGGTCGTGGAGCATCCGTGGCTAAACTTTTGCTGCAGGGGTTAGACATGGTAGCTATGGTGACAAACTTGCCAGAAGGGCAACGTCCACCGCGGACAGGCATTTCAGCAGAGTACAGCGGAAAAGCTGCCACTCGAAAACAAGAAAAGTGGTTGATGACCAGGGTTGGGGTTGGTTACTGTGGGGGTTTACCCGGTTGCAGCCATCTCTATGACCCGACTGTTGTCAACTAATTAACGCCACTTCATCACGGCGGGTTCCTCCATGGCTAACCTGTGAAAGCCAACTTTCCGCCAACGTTTCTGATTTGTTCGATGACCCGCAAGTCGTGGTCCAGTCAACCGGAGTGCAGGCGGAGTGGCGTTCACGCCTCAGTGTCTCAGGTGTTCGCCACCCAACTCA